TGAAGAGTAAATGTGAAGGAGTTATCATGGGAAAACCAGACTTGGCAATCTAAGATACTCAGATCTGTGCTGTCAGACTACTTTTCCATTTTTGAGAATTATATTTTTGTTATATCCCAATGAAGAAGAAAAGTTTGACATTGAGATCTGTGCTGCATAGAGTCCCTTCCAGCAGTATCCTTTTAGGAGTGTATGCTATGGATGAGACTTGTCAAGTGAAAATATTTGAACCCGTATTTTTTTAAGCAGTACGAAAATAGTTGAAGACAGCTCCTGCTCCAGGGAGTTTATGCAGTACAAGCAGGCAGAGCCACATGCAGGGATGGAAGAGGAGACAGATTATTTATTTGATTTGCTCACGATCGGACAGCAGGTCAGTGGCAGAGCTGGGAGTGGAGCCCAGCTCCCTGGAGCAGAGGTCCGTTCTCTTCCTCATTAAATGTGGTGCTTCTGGTGTTACATTGAAATTGGTGAGGAGAACTTTTCTGGGGAATGCAAGAGTAGTAACTGTACCTCAAGAATATCCTTCCTCAAAGCAGCACGCTGTCCTCGTGATACTGCAGATTGTAATAGGATAATGTGGGGCCGTACATTTTTTGTATAATTTCTTTTACTTAATTTGTGATTTTTAGTTTATAAATAGATGATAAATCCATCTTGCCTTCCACTGTGGTTTTTGGAACAGATTCCCGCACCTTTTCCTACTGCTGTCAGTGCTTGCAGTTCCCTGCTTTGTACTGGGTTATATGCTACTTTTAAGACATTTGCATATAATTAGCATGACATATAGCTAAGCGTGGAACTCCAGCTTTAGAGAGTATGCTGATAGCTCATCCTTCTTCCAGGAAAATAAATCTTGCCTGATGGGAGGCCCTGCACTAAAATAGCAGATTACAATCAGACCGAGGAGCCGAGCTGCTACTTTTACACATAGCCTGTCATGCCTGGCTGTACCAGTTTCAAAATCACTTTGCAAACAATCTTGCTCCTTTCCCTAGGTGCTCAGCAACCTTGAGGTATGCCCAGGAATGGGGAAGGGGTGAGGTGTCCCGGGGGAAGAAGCAGTAACATACCACAGTACCCCGGGAATTCTGCATACCGCGGCTTACAAATGCGCAGCTGACTTGTTTGCCTTTGGCTGGATTTTGTGGTTGCAGTTTGTATATCAAAGTGCATATCGTCATTGAGCCTTGCTTGGAATGGCCTCCAGAAAAGAGAAAGCTTGGGTGATTTCTGTCTTCCTTCCCCTTTCCATGACATATCTATTGCACAGCTGGGAAGATATTTTTGATCTACATAGGCTGACTTGTGGCATATTGGGGGCTATCAAGTAGTCCTCAAACTTCCTGCAGCCTCTTCTTTCTGCCTTTTATTAGGGGACCTTCCCCCTCTGTTCATGCCTTCGTTGCTGCTCTTGCCTCCATTCCCACTCAGTGTTCTTTGTTAACCTCACTTCTAGCCCCTGGGTTGCCAAGATCCCCTCTTCTGCGAGAAGATGGGCAAATGTGCTCCCCTCACTTCTTCTGTCAGGGCTTTGACTATCCTGTTCCTGTCTTGACCTGCAGCAAAGTCAGTTCTTTCTCAGTCTAGTCTCTTCCTCTCTGATGTCTTTTGAGGGAAGGAGCCAGGATGCAAACATGATACATTTGGAGGCAATAAGAACCAAGTATCTTGAGTGGAATGAAACCCTAATGATGAGAATGTCGGTCTTTCCTCTTACAAAAGGAGTTTCAGGACACAAGTCACAGCCAAGATCCATGATAGTGTTCAGCCTAAATTGTGGGACAATTGCTTTAACCGTACGAGACAGTATTTCCAGCTTCTCACCCTGACAGGGGAGTTACCTCCCAGCTGTGCGCAGACTGGTTTGTAATGGCTAGGTAGATCTGCAGAGTCGCACTGCATCTAACGTGGGCCAGCTGGCTGTACCGTGTCAGAACGTAAATGATACGAAGCCAAGCAGCAGGGGAAAAGTACAGTGGGAAGCAGAAAAAATTTAAACCAAGCGCTTAGCAGGAAAACACTTGGAACAGCATCTACAAGCTTGTTTCTGACCTGACTGTGAACGAGAGAGCTCGTTGGATAGGCTGCTATGGGAAAACACGTATGACAGTGAGAAAGCAGAAGGTCATGACTGAGCCAGCCAATGACATCATATGTGCCCCTAGCCTGCACTGAGTTAACTCTGAGGGAACAGAGCATGATACTCCAGAGGCATCTTAATTTAGGGGTGTGTACAAAGGTGCAAGTGTGTAGGAGAGGGCAGCTGACAGCAAGTTTAAGAGTATGGGGACAAGCGGAACAAGCCGCAGCAGTGTTTAAAAGTCACACAGTCACGCTGGCATATGGCACTGTGCTGAGGGAGCCAGCTGACTCGTCCCTCGTTGGCGCAGAGTACGGGCACGGGAACGTGGCTGTCGGTGGTGCCCAGGCCTCTGCTGAGCCCATCGCCAGCCCTTCGGAGCCCAGCTGGCTTCGGCAGAACCGTGGCCGTCTGCGGGGGCCTGCCCTCCTCTGTGCTGCAGCATGGGGTCTGACTAGAGAAAGCAGACAAAGGGTGGAAAAAAGGAAGTGCTATCATCCCCTTTTTGTAAAAAGAGGTACTGAGACTGAGAACAATTGAGTGGGATTTCCAAGGTAATTTCTTTTAGGTCTTGTGCTCCAAAGCCACGTTAGGAAGTTATGGTTAAAAGGTTCCTCTGGTTTCAGCTGGGTGGTCAGAGTGTAAATGCAAAGGGATGGCTGGAGTCTTCTAGGATACGGCAGTCCTTGTGTTGTACAACTGCCTCTCCTAAGAGTGCAACTGCTTTGCATTTCTGTATTCATGGCATGAAGAGTTTCAATCACTTTTGTCTGTATTAACCCACTTTTTGACAAATCTGAAACTTCATGGCACTGCTGTCTGAATTCAGAAGTGTGTGGGCAGAGACAAACTTCTCGTTACACCTGATAGTTGTGAGGAGTCAGATTGCTCATAAAACAAAGCCCTCTGCTAACTTAACAGGAAAGCACAAGCTAGAAACACCTTATCAATGGCTGCTGGCTTTCTTCATTACACAGAACTGGTGGTTCCGCTGCTAGAATGCAGCCAGCCTCCAAGAAACATCCAGTGTTTTGGCTGGGGGCTGCTCTGCCTCCCGCCACTTGGCTTCCACTGGCTTCAGCTGTAGGTACAGCGCAGGCGATCTATAGGCTGCTTCCATTCACATGGAAATAGCTTAGTTTTGAAGTTGCAGCCACAGGCACCCAGCTGGGTGTGCTGGATCCCACCACTGAGGTGGGGTCCCTTCAGTCAAACATTGCTGCAGTCTGCTGCCATCCCCAGGATGGCCTTCAGGGCTTTGCCTCCTCTTGACTCCCAGTCTTTGGCCGTATGCAAAGACTGAGGCCCACAATGGGTTCAGTACCAAGAAATTGTGACTGTAGCTAGAACTGTGGTCTCATCCGTCATTTTTAGAGAATACTATTAGCAACGTAATAACTTAGCAGAGCATAGTTCCCCTGTGCAAGTACAGATCCTCCTGGTCAGTGCTTGTTCATGGTTAACTGTGTTTCTGTGCGTGTTCTGTCGTTATCCCCTGCAGAGCCTTGCTTATTTAACAGGGGTTGTATGTAAGAGCACATGGATCAACCTCATGATTATACATTTGCAGGACTCGGTCGCAGTAAACAAGCTGAGAGGGAGAAAGAATTTCCCCCTTTCAGTAAAACAAGTGATTCCTGTATACTGCCAAGGAAGAATTGCGTTTGTTGTAGGACAGTTATTACAAAGCAGTAGCTTTCCCAAACAGATGAGCAGACCAAAAGCATTATGCTCCATATGGGGGTCGTTCAGTTGAGATCAAACACAATAGCTATTTTCCTTGTAATATCTGACACATGTTTTATCTGGGGAAGGAGGAGGTGATCTAATTCTCTTTCCCATGTATGACTTTGAGATTGTGCGTACAAGTCATGTATAGCATCATTCAGATACGTAGAGCAGAAATATTTTGAGTAGAAGCTTAAGAAGAGAGATATTATAGTGGTCAAAGAATCCATGTTTGCTTTTTCCTTTTCATTTGTAGTCTGATCTTGTCACAAATGCTAAAATTTGTTGACTGAGAACATGTTTTGGTTTATAAATCGCAGATCAGCTAACTTGCTTTGAGGCATTGTTTTGTTAGGAAAGTTTTGAAGCTTAAGTCTGCCCCATGGGAATGTGTGGCATAGTGAGAAATCTTTTGAGAATATTTTCTTTTTGATAAGCAAACATAAGGCACAAATAATACTCCTCCTTGTTTTATTTTTCTGTGTCTGAAGGGAAGGTTTCTGTGTAGTGCATTTGGCATGAGATGGTCAGGTGATAAAAGCTGTGGAATACAACTATAGAATAGAGTATGTGCAACAATCATCTAATGCAACTGTTCTTTTAAGATCGTTGTTTTTATTGTTGATTTTGTAATAGAAAGGCCCATCAGATAATGGGCCTCAGAGTCTTTGGGTACTTTGGCTGTTCCTGCCTCACTGATCTTCTAGCCCAAATGAAGGCCAGATGTAAGAGAATATAACAAACATATGGGAGCAGTGGGTGAGTGGGCAGATAGTCCTGCACGTTAGACTAGCAATATGGTTGCATGTACATGTGCAGTGCCTTTAAATTGAATGTAATTAATTGTTTCAAATGGTTTGGATGCCCTTTCATATTTTGGCATGACACCCAGCCTCTGCACAGAACTTCTGTTGCTATGGGTTTAGAGAAGAGTCCTGCAGGGATGGGCCCTGCAAGGTCCTGCCTTCTGCTGAGATTTGAAGAGTAAAGATGCTCGGTGTGAGGGAGGTGCTTCCCTGTATGAATTTCCCCAAGTGCTTGAAGGAGTATGTCATTTTTCTGTGATGAAAAAGCCCCACTCACAGACCATCATCCCCTTTGGCTGGGTACTGTACAGACATTGCCCAGGAGGATGACGGCATATCCCAAGGAACTTAACTCTTTACTTTCTGGATCCCAACAGGTGAAACTGATTGACTACATCCACAGACAACGGCAGTGTAAGCTGAGTGTGCCCCTGAATGACAGGACAGCAGAGCTCAACAGCTACCCAAGATTCAATGACTGGTTAGACATTGTCAATGTGAGGAAAGAAGTTGTACAGGTAAGGGGAAGACAACCCTCAGCACAGAACCCTCCTGCCCTCTCAAGGTGTCCCCAGCTGCCTGCTGGGTTTAAGTTAGTTTCCTGAGCTTACTTTCAGGCAAGGTGGGAGTGTGTGGGTACACGGAGGGACCTTTGGTGGAAAGGGTGCTTCCTGTCTCCCAGAAGCAGTGATCACCCAACAGGAGAGCTGAAATACTCCCTTCCCTTTGTCCTCCTCCCTTCTCACCATAGCATTTGAAGCGACACCTCACACCTATTGCTCAGGAAGAGACAAAGGTCCTGCATTGCCAGGGCCTCCTCTCCTTCTGCCTGCTAGGGCTGAGAATGATGCCATAACTTAGTCACTTACTAACTTGTTGATAATAATAATGCAGTACCATACTATCTTCTGTGTCCAGTACTAGCAAAAAAAGGACCAAGAGTTACAATTTTGTATGCTGACATATCCAATAAATGGAGTTGTTACAGCCTAGAATTTTCTTATTTCTAAAAGCATACGTGCCACAATTATAAACTAGTAAAGATCCACAAATAGCCAATAGGTCCGTGTCCATCTAAACTTAAACTCGCAAGAGGGGTGAGAGTTTACAAGTTTGTTCCAGACTCGAAACCCTGTAGTCTCACACAGCATTCGGACTACAAAATCAAGTGGACTGGAACCCAGTAATGGGCAGGTGGGTTTTGATCTGGATTTCGACTGCTCAGAAACGAGAGGTTTTTTCACACACACACACACACACACCCCCCCCCAATGAGTAAAGTCTCTGGTTCAAACTGATACCAAAGAGCATTGCATCAGGGTAAAAGAATGGAATGAATAGCTCTCCTGTGGTGGTCTGTGAACAGCATCAGCTGTTCATGCTCACAGACCATGGCTGCTTCTGATCTTTACAGTTTAATTCTTAACATGCAAATCGCTGGAAGGCTCTTTACTGCACAGAATAATCTGACACTTCTGCTGCAATCAGAAATGACCAGATAAACCAAGGCCCTCAGCTCCTGTCTCTGACATTTTTTTTTTTTTTTCTTGAAGAGGAGTCTGAAATTCCAGCTGCACTTAGGTGCTTCTGGGGACTCCAGGACTGCAGGGCCCTGACATCAGATTGTTCCTTTGGGTCTGGACTGTGCACGGTTTCCCCAAGCTGTTCTGTACTGCAGACAGTTCAGTTCAGTGTACCATTAATGGCAATGTAAGTAGAGCTCAGTCCACTGATGGCTAAACAAAGCAGAAAAGGTTTTTTCCATTCTTTTCCCCATTTTCAGCTCTGCAGGCCAGATCACAGTGTTCTCATTCAGTTTCCTTTGATCCTTAGACAAGCAAAAATTTTCTTTGACTTCAGCAGGGATCTGCCTGAGTGAAAAATTCAGCAAATTTTCATGGACGTTATTGCAGTTTGGTCCTGATGTAACTGAGCAGACTCTGGTAAAATAGGATGAGTTCAGGAGTGAGTTGTTCCTTTTATTTACTACCATTTATTTTGAATGTGACGCTGCATATCGCCTTCCAGCCCAGCAAGGTTTTGGGCAGCACGGCTAAAGGTGCAGCAGTGACAATGAGAGAAGAGAAAAGCAGCCTGTTGCTGTGGCCAAACTGCCAGGCTCACAACTATTGTTGGTTTCTAAGGTTACTGGAATTGCCTGAGCCTGAAAGAATGTCTTTGTAGCTCTTTTTTAAATCCTTTGTGATGCCTGCAGAACTGGGGGAAGGGAAGAGGTGAAGGGGGAGGGAGGAGGTGGACAGTTCAGATCTGCCACATCCTGGTAATTCAGGGAGCAAACAGCGTTGAGACTGCCCTTCCGTTTGCGTGGTCACTGAAAAGGGTGAACAAACTCGGGTTTGGTCGAAGGCAGGAAGAGAACATATTCCAACTGTTTATTGTTTTTATTCATGCTTTCTTGCTACCCTCTCCCAAGCAGTGACCAGTGCACTGAACTATGTTCCTTCTGTTCTCTGGGACAGAAATACAAGACGTGTATAAAGCATTTAAATTCCTCTGTGATTCCAAATGTGTGGTTATTTTTTAAAAGTTCTGCATCCAGTTCATGCAGCTGCAGACAGTTTCTGTAGTATTTATATTAGCTGGACAGGAGAACTGCAACGCCCATTGGGTCATTAAAATTATTTCTGAGTAGGCATGCTGGAACAGCCTGTAATCTGGGGGAATGGAAATGGCTGGGCCAATCGCTCTGTTCTTGCAGTGATTTCCCACCCCCACCCACCCCCTCGCCCCGTTATTTCACTACTTAGAAAATAGCAATGCAGCCACCGTTGGTGTCTGTGACATGGACATCAGCAGGCAGTGCAGGGGATGTGTTGGTCTGTGCTGAGGTGTCTTTCAGAAATGTTACGGATATCATGAGATCGTTCCTGCCGTTGCTTCGATTTTATACAGTGTGTGAACCGCAATTCAGCTGAATGCTTTCAAAATGGAAATCACTGACAGAAGGAGCTTTAATAGGTTAGTTATTAAGAAATATATAATGGTTTCCCTTAGCTTTATGCACACTACCTGTGGCATGACTGGGGAGAGAGGTGATTCAGTAGGTCAGACAATGAAAACGGGGACACTGGAGTCCCATACCTGGTGCCTGGTGTACGAGATAACACTGTGGAATGACTTCCCATCTCTAAGATCTGTTAGCTCACTGTAAAACTGAAATAGTCATACTGGGTTTCCTTCTTAATGCTTCCAAAAAGTGCTACAGAGAGACAGACAACCCCACAGGCGTGATAGTGTATTTACATTAGGCACATAGCCCTCTCTTCTTGAGACTTTTAGGCTCTGAAACTAGTTGTAGAAGTTGCCAAGTGCCTGTGGAGTCTCGGAGCTGCAACACAGCCCTTCCTGGCCACCTCTGCAGCAGGTACAGTGCAGGGGGTGAAGGGCTCTCCTGTGACCCACTGCTTGTTCCTGGGTTTTTGCTTTTTAAAATGGTTCTGATTCCCTTTGCATTTCTAGTGTTGCTGGAGGGAGTATTTCAATATTGTGCTAATCTGTGACATAACGCCTTTGAAAAACAGCCTAATTGCAAGCAGTTTTTTAGCTCAGGGTTAGAGAAACAAAGCTCTCTTTCTCTCTCTCTGTTCCCCTCCCCTCTCTCCCCCGCAGTCCTCTCCCAAATAAAGCTGCCATGCGGGGAAGCACAGAAACTCCCAGGCTCTCCCGTCAGAAATAGAGCACTGGCTCTAATTTAGAATATCTGCTGACTCCTCTAGTCCAGAGTAAAGACTATTTTTGCTCAGTGACTTGCTCTAGACATTGTGAAGCTTGAAAGCTCTTGCTGTTATAATTGCTGTCTTGTTGTCGGGCTCCTTTCTTTCTTTGAAAAACCTATCTTTAAAACAAGAATAATGACTGCTTGTAAAATCCTTTAGTTCTCAAAGAGATTATAGTAATAACAATGCACTGTTTATGGCGTTGGGCAACAGCTAAAACTCCTGTGAACGTGGATAACACTCAGCCGGTCATGCTGCGTAGAGTGAAAGGGCTGTTCGGTGTGGACCTAGCAGACTTGGAGGTAGGTGGTGAACACAAGCTTCAAGTTTGTGATCCTGTTTGCTGTCTGTGAATACACAACTCTGAGGGGTAAGGAAACTTTGAACCCCTACCCCAACTCGTGCTATTTCTGTTTCTTTGTTGTTGTTCCTCTAATCAGTTGCCAGACAGATTTTTATCATAGAAAACAGTGGCTAGTGTGGAGCGGGCTCTGCTTTGGAGCTGGGCTAGTATTGTTCTGTAACTTTCTTCTTAAGTTTTTTTTCTAGGAAATGCTGGAGTCCTTGTTTTTGGCTAGGAGTCCTAGAGATTGATTAGCACTGTGTACAGGTAGTTTAATACTGTTAAATGATGCATAAATGGTTAAACATGGTGGTTTGAAACTGGGAGAAGAGATACTTAAACTGAGAACTAGAAAAGGCAGGACAAGGAACCATCCAGACGGAAGATATATTTAAGCTGTGTAGTGGTCTCCAGTGGGTAAAAGTTGCTCTGAAAATGGACCTAGAAAAATATACTGATCTGGATTTTCCTGCTCCCCTTGAGAGTTGGAATCAAGAATTGAGGGGGGGAGTGGGAGGGAAGGAGGATGTGAACAGAGTGCTGTCCCCACTCAGGCTGGTGGAAGAAGTCGCTTGCAGAGCTACTTACTAGGTTCTGGGCTTGGGACAGGTCTACCAAAAAAAAAAAAAAAATCTCTATTGGCTTATTTTCTTCAACACAGAAAAAAATCCTGACTTTACTGTTGTTCTTCCCAGAAACATCACTATTATATTTGTTCCCACATATAACTTGTCACCATCTTAAAAAGTAACTTAAGAACATAGTCATCTCCTTATCATCCTCTGAAACGTGTCTGAACCAGCCCTGCTTACCACGTAGCAGGGGTTCCAGTCAATCAAGTTTGGAAAGTTGTTTTTAGAGGAGATAACTGTCATGCCCAGGGAGGGGCAAATCCTGCCCTAGGGAGTGCTGGCTCTAGGCAGAACTTTGCCACCAGGGAGACTACGTGGGAGCAGATGAAACAGTATTGTGGTGGGGTCTGGTTTGTGGCTGTTGCATTGGGGGAATGTATTTGACTCCCAATCTATATATTTTTTTGTAATACCTCCTTTTTGCTTATGAAACTTGTCTCATTCCCCAGTTAGCATTTATGCCAAAGACCTGCTTTCTTGTAAGTAGTCAAGAGTGGTTCCTGAGCAAGCCAGGGGCAGCGCTTGACATGCTGGAGAGCAGAGCAGGAAAGGTTCGTGCCTTGAGTAGGAATTGTCTGCTAAGAGTCTCCTGCTGCCCCTGTGGAAATCTGTAGAGGATGAGGCATCGGCATAGGGCTGATACTATGACACCATGGCAGGTAGTTATGCTTGCTTGGACTGCGATCTAGCTTGTAGCAGATCATGCTGATCAGTTGTTGGAGGAAAAGTGTGGGGTTTACGTGTGTGCATCCTTACTTTGGTTGGGGGAGTAGGAGAAGCAGATCTGCCTAAGCCTATCAGGTTTC